TGCTAACTTCTGCATGGAAAAGCTGACTATGTGATAGGAGTGATTACAGAGGCAAAAGATCTCCAAATCACAGGGTATTTGAATTTTACCCAATAGTGAATTCAGTGGCAGATTTACAGAGACTGTTGAGGCTGTTTAAGATTAACTAGGCTTACTGTCTTTAAGACAACAAGAACCTGCTTTCATTACATCTTTGAGTTTGATGTGGCATGATTCCAAATCTGGTTTTACGCACATCCTGTATTTCCAAATTGATTGAACATTAACAGTGAAATTGAACTACTGAAGATATAATTACTGAGGTGTTTTAGAGTGTACTTTTACCATTAAGTAGAAAAGATGAAAAATAAAAAGAATCAAAGAAGAGATTTATGTATTAAGCAATAAAGGCTTACATCAGAGCAAGGAGGGTTAGATAGAGGAAAACAACACTGAGCGCAACTTTTCACCTCATGTGCTGACTTTGCTAGTGGATGCACTTTTGGATCCGTAGTCTTAAGAATAGTTTTTCAATTTAACTGTCTGGGAATACTAAAAGTAAACAGAATTGCTTTCCATTTTCTTATTGTTTAGGAAATAGTCGAATGTTTTGAATGCTCAGTCCTGAATGGATATGGTGCATTCTGGAATGAATTGAAATGACTGAATTGAAAAAAATGGATTGAAGAGAACTAGGTAAGTCAGAAGAGGTAAAGGGAGACAGAATAGGAAAGTTAGGCCAGGTTCCCTGAGATCTTCCCATTTAACTTTGTGAAATCACAGGATATTTGTAACAACTCTCTTTATGGATATTTACATGCTCACAAAATATTCCAGAGAAATATGCAATTAAAAAGTATCTTCGGAACTTGATTACCCTATGCCACATTCCCTATTAGCTTAGACCATTGAGAGGTACTGGGGAACACTGAAGAAATCATCACCATTGTTGAGGAAATGTGTCCTTGGAAATAGCCTGCCAACTTGGCTCCATATCAGGGGTGGGTTGTACTAGTGTGCAAGGGGAAATCATTTCTGAATGTATTTCCTTTATTCCTTGACATGTCCATTGCATAGTGGCCCTCTGGCTTTGCTAGTAAGCGGCAAAAAGCAAAAATTCAGTTGGATTCTGTTAATCAAAGGAAACCACTGGTAGTACTGCTCCTTTCCTGTTTAATTATCTATCTATCTATCTATACACACATATATACATATATATGTGTATATACACATACACATATATATGTGTGTATATATATATATCCATACACACACACACACATACAGTTTTGAAATGTCTCTTCAGTTTTATAACTACTACAAAAATAGCCAGGAAAAAGCCACCATCAGTAATGCTACTATTTTTAGCCATGAACTGTGTTCTCAAAATACCATAACTAGATAATTGAGACATAGCAGAGTTGTCCATGATTTTGAATTCTAGGGATCTGATGTGAGGATATAGTTAAAGCTAATTATATTGTTTTGATAGGCAGCTCATGTGCATGATTTGTTAACAATTAAGTGCAAGTGGCTATTGAAATGAAAAGGTAGCTTTCTAATATTTTCCATGACTGTTTTTAAAGATAAGGATTTATTTTCTGACACTGTACAGTGACCACAGCCACGGCCAGAGAAAAGTGATCTCTCTTGCGTTGTCTACAGTCTGCACTTTGACTTCCTCCTCTTGGCCCAGTTTAGTCCAGACATTTCAACAGCTTGACTAAGCCTCATCACCATTTAGCTGCCAAATTCGGTAGCTGCCAACATCACTAGTAGCTTTTTAAGTACACCTGTTGCCAGCACTATGCTTGAGTTAAAAAGACAAGACCTTTCTGATCTTCCCTACTGGCTAAGATCTCTTTCAAAGGAGAGTTTTAAAAAATACTGCTTCATCATCATTCGGCAGGAAAGTATTTTTCCAGCAAGCTTTTCTACTTACAGAAAAGTTGCATTTATAGAGTTATTGTATGTAACATCTGCTTTGAGTTGGCCAAAAAATTGGTTCGATAGTCTATATACCTTTAATTTTTCTTTTTGATTATATGAGGTCAGCATAATAGCAAAACATGAAGACTTGGTATAAATTGAAGGGTTTTAAGTGTAATATTCAAATACCTTTTATAGTAAAGTTAACCAGATAGCTAATGGAATGCATTGCTTAGTAATTAGGTATAAACACTAAGTGGCTAGTATAAAGGACTATAATTGGTATACTTCACGGAATCAAACATTTTTGGAGCAAGCTTGGTGGGGAGAAAAGTAGAAAAGCAGTGACAGCTAGATTCTGCTCAAATTCAAGTGACGCTCAGGCCAGAGGGGACTTCTGGCTGAATCTCTCTGCTTTTTCAGTACCATTTCCTCCAGACGAGGGGGCCGTGGGGACAGCCCACGCTCTCTACTACATGGAGATAAGAAGTCAAAGAGAAAGGCCAGTGGATTCAATTCTGATAGTCTTCATAACCTTTCAAAGACAGAAATGCTATTTAGCTGTAGCTTTGTCATTTTTTAAGATTAAGAAATAGGACATAAAGAAATGATTTCAGCACTCTGGGCACCAAATAGCCACTGGCTAGAAAAATTAGAAACAATACTTCGCAGTTACTAGGACTTCAGGAGTTCATTTTGATTCATTTGCCTATCAGTCAGTGTGCATATGGTGTATACTTTTTCCTTATAGCAATGAAATCTCTTATGTAGATGAACCTGAAGACTGTTTAAACTGATTTTTTATTTTGTTCATATTATCTATATTTTCAAAAGGTAGTACAAAAGTAAAATCAAACAAAACAGTCCTTTGCTATGCCTCAAATGTCAGATTGAAAATTCGTCACCCTGGGAATATCTGGTTATTTCTTCTGTAAGGTGTGACTGTATATAACTCAAGTGTTACTGTTCCTATATGTCGGATTTTGACTGGGTGTAACCTTACCTCTGATCTGGTTCAAATGACAACTCCATTCACTTCTTCTCTGTCCCACATCCAATTCCTTGGAAAATCTTGTTGGTTGTATTTCAGAAATACATCTTGCCTCTTACCATTGTTATCACCTCCCTTGTTAGCACAATGACCCATTATCAATCTAACCTGAACATTAGAACAGTTGCTTCTGCTCTGCAGTCTGATTTGGTGACTCTTCCTGCAACTCTTCATTTCATTAAGAATATATTCTGCAAGTTATAAAGTTCTACATTTGTCCCCTTCCCAGGCCTATCCCTCTTTCTACCTCATCTGCTATTGCTTGTCTTTAGTTCACTGGCTTTTAGATACAACCTTGTAGCTGTTCCTCAAACACCCCACCTCTACTCTGTCTTTGCATTTGCTGTTCCTTCACTATAAAACTCTTTACTCCTGGATAGACACAGTGCTCATTTTCTTCCTTCAGGTCACTGCTCAGAGGCCTTTCCAGATAAACATATCTGAAATAATATCCTTCTTCTATCTCCATACCCTGCTTTCTTTTCCCATGAATCAACTGACATGGCAAGTATCTTACTGGGTTATTATTATTGCCTTTCCTACCACTATCTAATTATTATGAAAATTTTTTTTAAAAAAAGTATTTTTACTAATGCCAATTGTAATAAATATATATATTTTTACTTACACACGAATAATTATTTTTGTGATTTCTAACATAAGCTCCACGAGAGCAGAGACTTTGTATCTTGGTGAAGTGTTGTATCCTTGTTCCTTAGAACGCTTTCTAGCACAATACTAATACAGCTAGAACCACTGGAGTCAACATTTCTTGGTATCTTGAACCATTTCTTTCTAAAAATAAACTTTTAAAATCTAAATTCCATAGCCATAATATTTTATTTGAACTATAATCTACTCATTCCTGGTTCCAATACCTTTGGCTGGAAGTGAAACTAGTGAAAGAACTAGGGAGTTAATAGCAGCTATTTAATGAGCACTTCTTATATGCCAGGCTCGTGTGCTTAAACCCTTTGCTTTATCTCAGTGAATTCTAACTGCAGTCTTAGAGATAGGTATTATCATTCTTCTCCTTGCGCAGACAAAGATAACGAGACTTGAGAGAGGTGAAATAACTTGCAGCCAGGTCACGCAGCGAATAATCACCGGGCTGAGATTACAATCAAGGTGTGGCCGACTGCCTACTGCCTCCTAGCAGTCTCCTCCAGTAATGCGGGTCCGGCCCTCGAAGGGGTGAGGACTCCGGACCAAGCATTCCTTTTGCATTCCGTGTGCCAGGGTCCTGGAATCTCTCGCCCTCCGACCCTCCCTCCCCTCTTTCCAAATTTATCTCCCTGTAGATACAAATGCTCCTCCTCCCCCAAAGATCCCTGGTGCCAAACCAGGTAGTTCACTTTTTGCAAATGTCCTAAAAGTCATCGCATTCCATGCTGGGACGCTTTAATGCAAGCTCTGCTTAGTGCAGAGGAAGTTTAAAAGATGGACTCAAAATGTTGGGACCCAGAAGACACGGGACGCCACCCATTGGCCTCACAGCTGGCAAACCCGCGTGAGGCGGGCCGGGGGAGGGGGAAGAGGCATTTAAACGTGGGGACAGCAGACGCGAGTTCTCCCACCGCAGCCGACCCCCAGCTAGGAGGGAAGTTGGCCCGAAGGCGGCGAGCAGGGCTGAAGGGGCAGCGCGGCGCGCCCCGTTCCCGCCGGGCCCGGCCCCGGGACGCGCCTCCGGGAGGGGCTCCCCGGGCGCGCGGGGCCTCGGGGCGAGGCGGCGGGGCGGCCGCGCTCCCGGCCGGCGCGGAGGTTCGCGGGCAGCCGCGGCGCGCGGCCGGCGGGCCTCGGCGGCGCGGGGCGCCGGGGCTCGGGAGGGGCCGGCGCCCGCCCCGCCCCTCTCCTCGGGATGCCGGGATGTTTACACTCCTGACAGCGGCGGCCGCGGAGGAGGAGCGGGAGCTGCGGGAGGATGGGCCGCCGCTAGGCTCGCTCTCGGGACGCGCCTCGCCGAGCGCAGGGTGGGTGCCCGCGCCTGCAGCGTCCGCGGGGGCGGCGCGGCGGGAGGCGGCGATCGGCTCCGGGCCTCGCAGCCACAGTTCCCGGCCCAGCGGGCCTTCGCGTTGCGCCACCTGGTCGAGCCGCCCGCCCGCCCGGCTCCCTCGCGGGCCGGACAGCGGAAACCTCCCAACTTCCGAGTGAGTGGCTCCCGGGGCTTCGGGCCCCCGCGGCGGGTGGAGGGGCCTGCGGGAGCCGGCGGGAGCGGGAGGTCGGGACCGCGCGGGGCGGCCTCCGGGATCCCCCCGCCCGGGGTCGGCGGGGCGGGGCGCGCCACGGGCGGTCGGGGTTGGGGGGCTCAGCGCGGTGGGGCGGCGGCGGCGGGAAGAGCTCGGTGCCCGGTCGCGGCTGTGGCGGCCCGAGGCCGCTGTGGGCGCCGCGGTAACTAAGAAACTCCGCGGCCACGGCGGCGGCGGCAACAGGTCTTCGGTTTCAGGACCGCAGGAACTTGGGCGAAGTCCCGCCTCCCGCTTCCCGGCGAGTGCTCATTGGCAGAGCCGGTTATTTATCCCTCGCGGATTGGTTGGGGCCAGCTGTCAGGATTCGCCGGCAGCCTGACTGAGAGAGAAATTGTTGAGTTCCCCGGCAGGAGCGGGTGGTGGGAGCCGAGCGAAGGGGAGAGAATCTGGAGACTTGAGCGGTCCTGGGGCGGTGACCCACCTCTGGAGAATGAGCTGGAGGGGGGACTTTGTCAGTATTGGGTATTGGTCAACCTCAGTGTTAGGAAATGTCGGCGAGAGGAATTGCAAGGCAGTAACGAACATTACTGGTGATGGTGGCAATGGTAAAGAAAGAGTAAATTGAAACTTGAAGCCAAAGTCAGGGAAACGGGGGGAAAAAAATGTGGAGATCACTTTGCCACAGGACGGTGTCAGGAAACAGCGCAACCCTAGAGGATGCTGCAGTGAGATACACTGAACGCCTGTTGGCTGCTCTATCTACTGTAGGCCTTGGGGGATGATGTATCAGACAGATGAACCGTATTCCTCTAGCGCTGTAGTCCTTGTTCGGGATAAATAGTAAAAACAAACAAACAAACAAAAACACAAAAAAACAAAAAAAACTTCATTTACAGTAAGTTATGTTGCCATCATTGATCAGTCCTGCTAACAAAACTACACTAGGGCTCTGACACAGAAATGAAATAATTCTCCTCCTTTTTTGAGATCACTAATCGTGAGGATGCAGTTGAAAACATCAAATGCCCATGGTTCGTGGGTCATAGTGTAGCTGTCGTAATTAGAACCACTGTTTCTAATTCCTCCCCAAAGGAATTTGAAGTTTCAAGAGGCATGTGCACTCCCTGCAGGCAACTCACACAGTGTGTCTTGTCACTTGGATTAGAAAATAAAGTACAGAATGTGTGTGTGCTGAACCTATTCTGTATAGGACCTTGAGCTGCTGCGGGTGTGGTCCAAAAATGGCGTAGTATTCACCCAAGACGCTTGTGGTACTTTTGGGACTACCGGATAAATATTGAAAAACGTTGGGTAGTTAAATAAGAGCTAGAGTTAATCCCGTAAAGGTTTGTGGTAACTCGTGCCGAATTGACGCCGAGTGTTCTTGGCTTTCCTGCTTGGTTAAAATCAATGCATTTGAAACGGTTAATAGAAAACTTAAGCAGCTGTTCCATTGCAGAGTTCGGGATCCTCTGTAACCCGCGGGGAAAGCCCGCCCGCCGCTTGCTTCGCTCCCAAAACCACAGCATCCTCTATTTGGTCCTGAACTGGGAGCTTGTGGGGTGGGGGAGAGATGCAGAGGCTGGAAAAACTTTTGCCTCTCGGAGGAGTCAAAGGGGCAGAAACTGTGTGGGTGGTGGTGAGAGGAAGGCAGGAGAAGTGTAAAGGCGGGCTGGGGAAGACGCGGGACCCTCCCAGGTTTGAGAGCCTGAGATTCCGCACTCGGCGCAGGCCCCGCCCCCTCCGAACTGACGGCCTCCTCAGCCAATGGGCGACGGGGACACCGCGGTTCCCTCACGGTGGGCGGGTACTTCCTACCCCGGCTGCAGCGGGGTGGGGGAGCCGAAGTTTCCCTGGGCTGTGCGCTGGCGGTGGGACGCCCGGCGGGAGGCTGGGTCTCGTGAAACAAAGGTGTAAAAATCAGGGTGAGGAGGCTTCGGTGTCCTCTTGGCCCTCGTATCGCTCTCGTTTCTTAATTCAGCTGCACCTTGGACTTCCCACTTCGACAAAAGTTTTCTGATTGATAAGGGACGAAGCTGGTCAGCAAACTGTATTGTCAGTGTGACTGATGGGGTTGATCAGAAAATGAAATGATCAGAAAATGAAAACCAAGAAATGTCAGAATCTAAATTAAGCGTTTTCACAAATACGTGGGGCTAACTTGAATGCAGATATTTTATCACCCGAACTGCTATTCTGTTTTGTTTATTTAGATCTTCTCTAGCATCTTCAGTTTCTTTCCCTACTTACACATTTTCCTGGCTGGACAGTTTCAAGAACTCTTTTCCAGCCCAGTAAAACAGCACGTACTCCAAGAATGAGGAAAGCATGTCTGGTATGATGGCAGCATGCTAGTGGAGGAGGGAAGATTTGAGGATTGTATAATTAACTTTCCCGTATAATAAAAGGCAGTATTACAATTCTAAATGCCCCAAAATGTAGTTATGGTTTGTGTAAATAAAGATTTAACCTCATACTCCCCTCCCCTTCATCTTCCTGGTGGTTGCAGTGGACAATTTCTGGCTCTAATGTATTGGAAACTTCTAAGTATTCTTCTCAAATTGTACATTTGCCGAAATGTAGCCCCTCCCCCCACGCTTAAATATATGGTCCCAGATGCCACTAGTGTCAATAGTGTTTAGAATCAAACACTATTTTCCTAGAAACTATATGATGTTTTCAAATATATTCTATAGTATTCCTTAGGTAGCTACCATTCAGAACATCTGGGTAGGAGAGAATGGTGATTATTTAATGTAATTTTGGAAAAAAATTGCTTAATTAGATAAGTTCCAAAATTCCCTTCCAGTTTTATTTCCTCTGATTTTTTTTTTTTTTAAATAGGCTCTGGTATTTAAAAAATGTGCAGTGTAGCTGCAGTTGCGCAAAGCAGCTCTCACTGCGTTTGGGGTTTCATTCAGTCCCTTCAAATATTTACCTTAGCTTAAGAGTTTGTGTATAGATATTTTAGTATATTACATGTAAACATGGAAACAAACAGTGTAATATTATAGAGTAAATAATAAAATTTCCCCGGGTGTCTTGGGAATGACTATGATTACTGTTTTCTCTCAACTGCTTTATCAGCAATTACTTTATATTAACATTTCTACAAATATATAGCAGGATAGCATGTTTTTCAGACTTGAATGCTTTAATTCTGCCTCCCCTTACTTTTATAGGGAATACAGATGCATAACATTTGATTATACAATTGTAATGAAATTATTTATTTGCAGGATATAATGGCAGTTGAGAATTTTAAAAATTACACATAAAACTAATGTAGAACTATTCACAGTTAGAGTAAACAGAACTTCTGAACTGCTGATTCCTCTTGGTTATTAATCCTGTGATATTATTTTCACAAGATAATATTTCACTTTAAAGAAAATACTTAGAGGATGTATTTCATTTTTTTTTTTTTTTTTTCAGTGAACACTGGGAATGAGAAGGACAGATGGTCTGGAAACATTTCTTAATTTTTTTGAGCAGGATACCTTCTTTTTTAACCTTTGTTAAAATTACAGCTCCATCTAACTATTTATATGATGAGCTAATACAAAGAGCTATTTTGGGTGGACCAGCTATCCAAAATGTTAATAACTGCATAAATGGAACTTATTTAATTGTTCTATAAGAATTTAGAAATAAATGTTTTCTGTTATGTAATGGAAATAGCCCTTTCGGCAAATCTTGCCATTAGTTTTTTTGTTCATGGTCAGTGTAAGGATGTAGTTAAGTGCAGCCTTTTCATTCTGGGTTGCTTTTGTGTAAAACAGGCTGGCAGGGTTTTTCTTTCAGAGGCCACATAGTACGCACTTCTGGTTTTGTGAGCTCTGTCTAGCCACTCACTGCCTTTACCTTCCTCATCAATAACTGGAAAGGTGGGCCGTGAGTGTGCGCCAATAAAACTTTATTATACAGACAAGTAGGCGGCTCACCCTTGCAGTAGAAGATAATATCTAAGGTTTAAATGTGATTCTAGGCCATTGATGTTTGGGTTGATTTGGCTTTTCCATAGCAGTGTTGTGTTTTATTTACATGTATATATGTATATGAGACCATTTTGGGGGCCTCCCTGGTTGTGCAGGGATTAAAGTCTCAGTGCTATCAAGCTGTAGCCAGCTACTGCCTCAGAAGTTCGATTGGGAGAGGGGGTAGCTAGTCCACCGGCTTAGCAGACCACTCCTGTCTGGCCTCTTGCCTGCTGCTCCCCTCAGCAGTGTACTTCAGTAGGTCTGCCAGTTCCCTACTCTGTCTTTGGTGACTCTTATCATACTCCTCCCTTCTCCCCTGCACTTCTGGCCTACACCTCAGTTCTTGTGTGGATGTGTATATATATGTATATATGTGTGTGTGTGTATATATATATATGTATAAAATCTTTAAAACCGTTTTTGGTCCTTTGATCATTGTGACAGTCTCTTGATCTTTTCCAGTCGCCTCCCAATACATCCCAGTTTTTCATTCCCAAATTTTGTATTTCATTTCTTAGACTTCTTGAACATATGAACTATGAACTATTTTACACTTATCCACCTTTTCAGGGTTTCCTCTCTGTTTGCGTCTCGGGATCCTGCTCCAGTCCTGTGACAGAGGATGGATGTGTGCCTCCCTATACCTTCCTCCTTCTTACTAAACCAAAATGTAATCTGATGTCATACATTTATCTTTGCTCCAGTGATTGATGAGACTTTGATAGGAGTGTGTTTTGGTTTAACTACTAGCTTTCATATTAAGCATACTGGAATGACTGGCTTTGTTGCCTTTAGAGGGAACTTCTGGCATGAGCAAGAGGGCAAATATTTTTTGAGAAAAATTGACTTAAAGTCTTTTATAAGAGACTTTCTTTCCCAATAAAAATATTTTTTTCCAATAAAAACGAAATACTGGAAATGATATCTATTTGTGGGGTGGGACAATAGTCAGAGCTTTTGCGACCTGGGCTGTGTAAAGCT